GGGTGCTTATCTTGTTCAGCTCTTTATATACCCTAGAGATTAGAGCTCTATCTGATGTTTGAGGGGTAAAAATTTGTTCCTGGGATGTAGGCTCCCTATTCACTTCACATATTATTTCTTTTGCTGAGAAAAAAACTTTTTAGTTTTAATCCATCCCATTTGTTGATTCTTGGTTTAAATTCTTGTGCTATAGGCATCTTATTAAGGAAGTTGGAGCCTAGCCCCAAGTGATGGAGTTTAGGGCCTATTTTTTCTTCTATTAGATGCAGAGTCTCTGGTTTAATCCCTAGACCCTTGATCCATTTTGAGTTAACTTTTGTGCATGGTAAGAGATAGGGATTTGTTTTTAAAATAAAATAAAATAAAATACTTGAGAATCAACCTAACAAAAGAGGTGAAAGATCTGTACAATGAAAACTATAGAACCCTAAAGAGATAAATAAAAGAAGACCTTAGAAGATGGAAAGATCTACCTTGCTCATGGATAGGCAGAATTAATATTATTAAAATGACTATACTACCAAAAGCACTATACAGGTTCAGTGCAATTCCAATCAAAATTCCAATGGCATTCCTCATAGAAATAGAAAAATCAATCATGAAATTCTTCTGGAAAAATAAGGTTGTTTTTTGTTTTTGTTTTCTTCTTTTTTGTTTTGGTGGTACGGGGGATGGAACCCACAGCTTTGCACATACTAGGTAAACACAACTACTGAGCTTTATCCCCAGCCCTGGAATGATATTTTCAGTGTGCTGAAAAGAAAAAAAATCCTTTCAACCAAAAATATATTGGGGGGCTGAGGTTGTGGCTCAGTGGTAGTGCACTTGCCTAGCATGTGTGAGGCACTGGGTTCGATTCAAAAACAACCCTGCAAGATAATATTGCCCCCTCTCTCTGTCTCCCTCTCTGTCACTGCCTCCCCACCCACATGCAAAGTTGTTCTGAGAAATACACTGATAGACTTATGGGATTCACTTGTGTGCAAGGAATCCTTATCTTCTTGCTCCTTTCAATGTTCTTTGTTTGAGGACTGGGAACAAGTCAGTGGTAGAGCACTTGCCTACCATGGATAAGGCCCTTGGTTTGATCCCTAGCACCACAGGGAAAAAAAAATCTTTGATATTTGATAGAGGCTGTAAAATGTCCTGGTGAGTCTTTGGGCTGAACATAATTATAATTGCAGGTTGATGAGTTTCTTGTACCTTAACAGTGACATCTTTCCCCAGATTTGTTAAGTTTTCAGATACTTTAAGTTTTTTTTCTGTCTCTTTAACTCTCCCTTCTGCTTCCATAAATCCTATCATGTGAAAGTTAACTGTCTTGATGATGTCCCGGGATAAACCC